GAGTAGAAACCCTAACATAAGGGGTATGCTGTTGCTGTTTGGCCAAATTGCAGTTGGTCTGGGAGGCAGTAGGCTTAAAGGATAATGGGAGCCAGGGTCCCAAACACCCATCGATGTACTTCACCTTTGGTCTGCCATTTGGCTGGGTTTGGTTTTCATCTTTCTGCAGGCTAGCAGGGCAGGGTTACTGAGTTTATCTACCCATGTGCTCTCCGGGCAAAGCAGGCTGCCTCTAGGAGTCAGGAGGTGGCAGGACTAACGTCAGCATGAAGCGTGTTTCCTGTTACTGTTTTTTGATGTTGTTTAGCATGTATGTGTTTCCAGCAGTGCACGCCACCATGTATGTGTTTGCCCGAATATAACAGTAGCCCACCACTAGGAATCCCGTGAAGTCTCACATTGTCGTTGGAGAAGCAGAGCGGAGGTGTTATTGGGCGCAGACAGGTATGGCCTCTTTGCCCAATAAGATCTTGGAAGTGGTGATGTATTCACAGAATGTGATAAAGACAAAGAACCAGGGGCAGGGGCAGGGGCAGGGGCCTTTGGCTAGACTGGCGATGTGACAGCCGTTTTAGACTCTCTGGTGTAAGCCCTCTGTTTGTAGTCACTTGTGGGGTTGTGGTCTTGGGGGCCCCTTTGGCCTGCCCTCAGTGGTGCGAACTCCAAGGCAGTCACAGGGGCCCTTGGACTCCCTACCCACCGCCCGACATCCTCCTCCACCTCTGCAGAGCCAGCGGGCATCTCTGCAACGCTGGAGAAGCCCACCACTTTGTGCCTGCTGAGGCCTGGGCTGGACTTAGCCCTTTGGTGGGTCGTGGCGGCTGCCTCAGTGGTTCGGAAGACCTGGGTTTGATCCTTAGCCCAGTGCTCCGTCAGGCGAGTCACTTGCCTCCGTCATTGGAGGCGTGTGCGCTGCTCTGATGCTGACCATGTTTTCAGTGGAGCTTCCAGAGGGAGGTGGACTGAAAAGAAGGGCCTGGTGATCGCTACTGAAAACAGCGGGCCAGGGAAAAACCAAGCACCATGATGCTCGGATCCCCTGCTCATGGTGGGGCATGCACAGGGCAGGTAGCCCTTTGCTCGGTTGTGACAACTGATGGCAGCCAACAGCGGCAGCAAATGGCATCCTTCTATTTCCAGTGAGAGCCCAACCCAGAAGCCTCTGTCAAGGGCATGTGTACAGTTGTTGCTGTTCATATAGCAAGAGCGTCCACGCGCCTCTGCCTTTAATAGCACGTGTGCCTTTAATAGTATCAGTAGCGTTTGACTCAGAGCCCTTCACACACAGCCTGCTTTCAGCAGGACATTTTAGTCGGCTTCAACTGGAAGAAACATTATGTAATTGATTACAAGTAGTAGTTGAGTGAGCCCTGTAACTTGATAACGCAGGGGCCACAGCTGACAGGTGGTTAATCCCGCCTGCATAACTTCCTCATCCGTGCTCCTTAAGACGGGGTTAAACACAACAGCCACAACCACAAGACCTTTTCGGCGAAGAAGGTCTCAAGTGGGTGCCCGGTTGGGTCAAAGCTAGGATGTTGTGCAGTTTCTCTCGCTGGCCTAGCCCTCCAACCTGGGTTCTGGCCACCCTTTACAGAGGCTCCCCTCCACCCCAAATCCCGTAATTTGTGAGCTTGGCTTTGACATACCTCAGCCCCTGTGTGGACAAACAGCTGTCTCCCAACAAGACCAGTGTAACTGTGCCCATAACTTTACATGCTTAAGCTCCTGACAGTGGAGTAAAATTACTACCAACAACCAGTTTTTGATTGGAATGCCCTTTCCTAAGTTCCTCAGAATAACCAGGTGGTAATAGAGCTTTCTGTATGATCAAACCCCGACTTTCTAAACCCGATGCGGCCGAGGAAGCTGTGATCTGAAGGTTGATCCTAAGCAGAGGTGGTCAGTAGACTTATTTCAAGACTGAAGAAAACGCATGGTGCTGCCAATCTGACTGAGCGTCAGTGTAGGAGGTGGGCTGGGGGGTGGCTGGGCGTGTGTGTGTGTGTGTGTGTGTGTGTGTGTGTGTGTGCTGACAGGGAGGCAGGTGTGTTGGAGTCCAGCAAACCAGTGTTTGACATTAGCTCAGTGATCTTGAGCAGGGTTTTATACTTCTTCAAACTGCTGTTTTTCTCCCGCAAATATGAAAAAGACTACTATGAATTTCTAGATCACCAATCAATTTCTGGCAGATAAAATCCCAAGCACAGTAAGATTCTTGCACCTAGGGGTGTGCTAGAAACAAACACGTGCGTGCGCACGCACACACGCAAATGGCACTTCTGTTGTGATGTGGGTGAAAGTCTGAACAAACTGGTTTCCCCTCCAGCAGCTCTTGCACATTCTGTTTCGTGACCTGGACAGCGGCCTTCTCAGTGTCATGGAGCCTGCACACTTTCTAAAAAAAATATCATTTTACTGGGGGCTTGTCCAACTCTTATCACCATCCATCCATGGTATCACGCACATTTGTACATTTGTTGCCATCATCATTTTCAAGACATCTTCTTTCTACTTGAGCCCTTGGTATCAGCTCCTTATTTTTCGCCCTTCCTCCCTCATGAACCCTTGATAATTTATTGTTATTTTTTCATGTCTTACACTGACTGATGCTTCCCTTCACCCACTTTTGTGTTGTCCGTCCCCCTGTTCCTTCCCCGAGTCCCCTGCATCCATTCTGCCTTCTTCCCTATCCCTTCCTGCCTTCAGAGCTCCCTCCTGGGTGAACATCCCTCTTCCTCTTCCCTTTCCCCAGGGATGAAGATAGAACTGGGCCTGCTCTGCTGGCTCAGCGTTTAAGTTTAGCAGGATCCCAACGTCAGTACAAACAGGCTTTAAATGGCTGTGGAAAATACGCCTTCGACTTGCAAGGGGTTGCACTTGACTCATGTTTTTGACAATATGTATACGTTGTCCAATTCGTTAAAGCATATTAAGGCAGCTAATTTAGTTCTTAGTCATCTTACGAAGTCCCAGGATGCATGCAGCCCTGGTTGGAGCTCTGTAGAGAGGCCTCAAACCCACGAGCCCATGTTTGCACATTTTGCAAAGAAGTATGGGTATGCACACATGCACATGTGTCCCAACTTTTGGAAGGAATGTTAAAAAGAAACAAACACAATTCTTCGAAAGTGGCTTTTCCCATTAGATTTGGTACTTGCTGCTATAAAGAGAGGCCCACCTGTGTCCAGTTACTCCTCTCTCAGCAGGAGAGTGAGAGGACTCTTCAGGAAGCCAGTTGTATCATGGTGATGTTCAGGGTCCAAAGTGACCTTTTAACCTTGTAGACCCCAATAGAAAACAAATTAAGCCCAGTCACAAAACCTCTGTAGTTCTGACCGAGGACTTACATCACTTTAGAACTGGAACTTTTCAGACTGTTTGTTACTAAGGACAGGGAGTTAGGCTCTTCCTGTCCCCCCAACTTCCCAAGCACTATTCATATGGCGACTCGTATTTTCTCCTGGGCGTTGATCATTGTGAAAACTCAGAGCGGGTCCATGGGCTGTCGCCTTTGTTATTGGTTGACTTTCTCCAGAGGGAAGGAAAAACCACTTGCTCTGGCCTCGACTCCGACTCCTGGTAACCCCGAGAGCGTCTGAGTAGACCAGGCCCCACAGGGTCGCTCTCAGGGATGGACTTGGCAGAAGTCCGTCCCTGGCCTCTCTTCTGAGACATCTCTGGGCAAACAAACGTGTGCCACCAGCCATCGTTTGCTCATCCCGACTCCTCTCACTGAATGATCCAAGGCGAGGTATTGGAAAGGAAAAGAAACCCAAACAGCATGGATATCCTCCAAAGAGCTGATTTTCTTTGATGTCCGTTAGCACGTTTTCTCAGTTTTCAATGGGAAATGATCTTAAAAACATCTGAGCTGTGAGCACGCAACGTGGTTCGGTTGGGCACCCCGGCAGAGGGGTCACTGAAAGCACAGGGGCTGTGGCCTCACAGCATCTTGTCTCACCCCTAACTAGGACAAGGACCCTTGGGGGACCCCCCCACTTTTCTGAGCCCATTCCTTCAGCTCCAAAATTATATGTGCTCTGCCTACCTCTTAGATTTTTAAAATAGGATTTCTCTATTATTACATGATGTAATTCATTTAGCTAATGTGTGTTATCATTTGTTAAAAAGTCAGAAATATGTAGTAATGAAACAATACATGATATGACTCATCCTCAAGTAACTCACAGATAAAGGAAAGGGATTTTTTTTTTAAAGCACAGTAAAACGAATGTACCACCTTTAATTAATTAATTTAAAAATAATTTTATTGGGGGCTCGTACAACTTTTATCACAATCCGTACATCCATTCATGTGTCAAGCATATTTGGAATGTACCACTTTGAAAGACATTTTTAAGTAGTGTAAAATGTGCCCATGAGCAGCATGTGTTGAAGAAAACTGAGGAAAAGTTCTGCCCTTCATAAAGATGTGAGCGAACAGATCTGATTTCCACATGTCATCTTTCTGCGGCCTTACCTTGATCCTGTTGTCCGTACGGCACCTCTGTGATGCATGGACACATCCCCTTACAATACAGAAGTAGATCACTAAACACTACAATCTCCTTAATCCTCACCCCTCGTCCCTGCCCCTGCCCCCAATTATAGCCTGTTTCCTTTTAGTATCCAGTCTTCCAGATTCCCCCTTTGCCTTGGTACCTGCATATTATCCAGAGAAAATTCACAAAGGAGCATTTGTTTTATTTTACACACATTTACCACACTGGATGGAGCAGTCTACCATATGCTTTCTTCATTCAACAATACCTGCCTCATTCACTTTAGTGTTTATTATACTGCACTAAACATCATTTTGCTGATTTGGTGTAAGCATTGGGCTGCTAATGACAGGATCAGGGTTGGTGGTTCAAACCCTCCAGCCGCTCAGAGGGAGAAAGCTGAGGCTGCCTGCTACCATAAACATGTCACAAAATCGTCCGCTCTGCGTGAGCTGCTTGTTGCACGTGTGCCTAGAACATGTGCCCAGGTAAACCATGGCCAGAAGCTTACGGAGTAAGTGGAAAAGGAAAATGCGTGCTGAAAAGAGAGAAAAGCATGCCCCAAAGGAGCTCCACAGACTTCAAAACATTCTCAAAGTAGACGGTGATGCTGTAATGAAAGACGTTCAAGAGATAGCAACTGTTGTAGGGCCCAGATGTTGCCAAGAGAAAACGCAGTGTGAGCTGAAAGAAGAACAAGGTGAAGGTGACATGACAATGGAGACTGACATTAAGAGGGATAAGAAGAGCCTTCTAGACCAGCACGGACAGTGCCCAGTGTGGATGAACCCGAGGCAGAGAAAAAAGCTGAAGGCAAAGCGAGAAAAGAGGAAGGGGAAAAACAAAGCCAAAGCGGCGAAGGCATTGAGAGGCTTAGCCTAGTAGACTCAGAAACGTCGCTGGAACAGGGCGGGGCCAGGGTTTGATGAAATCCTCTGATGGATTTCAGCTTTGACCCGTGGGCGACGATTTATTTTACCCCAGTCTCTTCCTTCCATTCGAACCTCGTAGAACTGAAGTTCACGTGGAGCGCACAGTTCCTTTGTCTAAAGAAAGCTGTGCTGGTGTTTTCATCAAGGGCGGTATTATCCAGGTGTTTCCAGATGTCAGAAGTCTGCCCAGTATGAACTCGCACAACTTCCTCCTTGTCAGTAAGTGCCAAACGCACTGACAAATGTAAGGCCACTCAGACTCTGCCGCGACTGGGAAGCAACAGTAATTGTAAAAGATGATGACCTGGGATGGTATGGGCAATGCTTGTTTGGACCTTACATTGTGCTCAATCCGGAATAAAAACCATTTTGCGTGTAGCTCTTAAAAAAAAAAGGGTACAAAATCTTGGAAACCCTATATATGGTCACTGAGTCAGAATCTACTTGACGGCAGTGGACGTGGGTGTTTTTGTTTATCGGGTTGCCAAGGAGCCCGGGTGACACAGGGTTGCCTATGGAGCGCCTAACCCTAGAGTCTTCCATCCAAACCTACCAGTTGCGCTGTGGAGAAAGCGAGGCTGTTTGCGCTCGTGAAGAGGCAGACCGTCTCGGAGAACCCAAAGGGCAGTTGTGCTCTGTTCTGTAGAGTCACTCAGGAGTGGGCCTTGACTCGGGGGCAGTGCGTTTGGTTTTGGTGGCGTGCTTGACTGATGATCCCTCATGATGTTCAGCTTGGTACACACTGCTAAGACTTTTCTAGGATTTACTCTGTTAGGTAATTTTAAAATGCTGTATGTTAACCAGTAATTGTGTTTTGACTCATGAGTTTTAGTTTTAACACATGAAAGTATTTCTAGAAGTTTAAAAATAACCGGCAAGAAAAGAGCTTTGTTCTATTATTTGTCAACCTGAGCAGCTGCAGTCGAATCCCTCAGTCTCCGCCATTCAAGAAAGGATACCATAAACATGACAGCTCCCAGAATCACAGCAGGGTGCACGTGTGAGGGGGTAGAGGTGCAAGCACTTATAGAGAGCATCTGCGCCCAGCATGCCCATTCTGATTGGCAGCTACTCGAACCCTCTTGAATAGGATTTTAAAGTCCCAACGGGAAACATTTCTGGATTGCTTAGTAGTGGCTGTGAAACCTCACCGTCCTCAAGTTGATGCTGACTATGGCACGGGGTGGAACTGCCCCTGTGGGTTTCGGGGACAACGACTCTTAAAAGCCTTAGCTTTGCCCCTCAGAGTGGCTGGTGGTTTTGAACTGTCGACTTTGAGATTAGCAGCCCACTTTGTAAGCCATTCCACCCCCAAGGCTCCTTGTCTGCTAGGTTGATCCTAATTTAGTGGAAGCACTTGTTTATATTTAAGAAAACAAGGCACACCTAATTTAAAGGATCTGTGTGTTAGGCTTGTGGTTTGCAGAACCACTTGACGAGAAGCAGGTGGAAATGATGTGGGAGAATGGAAGAAGCATTCACTTTTTATCGCTGTGATCTGGGGCAACAGTTCACCCGAAGGAAGCCACTGATTTGTCTCTCTTTTTACTTTGGCCACTAGGAAGCTCAGAGCCGAACTTGCGGCTCTAACTTTTGGGTCTCCCTTTGGCTTGAGGGACTGTATTCTACTCCCGCCTTACCCTCCAGTCTGCCCCTGTCTGTGCTTCCTAATCTGATACTTCCTTGCCCTGCTCTCTGTGTTTTACCTTTGTGTCAGTGTCTTGGCCTGCGTCTTTATCATAAAGCTGCCTCGGATGTGTGTGAAGCAGACGGCACATACAAGAACATCAAGAAAGTTGTTGTTGACAAGACCGTGGAGGATGAAAACGGCTGTCGTTCTGAGGGCACGTTGATGGCTGTGGCATCTGCTCTCACCTTCTCTCGGTCCGCCCGTCTTCCTGACTGGTGCATCTTGCTCACCCCCAGCCCACGTTGGTGCAGCGATGGCTCACTCTACACCCAGCCTCACCCGTGGTTCACAGAGGCAGGACCAAGCTTCCGACCTCCCTTTTACAGAGTGGCTCTGCTCAGAGCTCAGCCCGGTGCCTTCCCCTAAACCCCACCCCCCTCCGCCTCGATCTCAGTTATACCACCACCCACGTCGTTGCTCTAATCCGTAACCCATCCTCATTTGCCACCTTGTCATCCTTTTAACTCGAAACGTCTAATCAGCAACTTCGACTTGTTCTTTTAACTCATAAATATTTCTTGGGTATATTCTCTCCTCTCCACCCTTTCTTTAGCAACTATGAGGTATGATTGTCCTTAATCTCTACTCAGTCTCTCTGTCTCTGTTGTTTCTCCATGCCAACTCCTCCTTTGCCCTACAGTAAGGTGACCAGACGTACTGTTTTTGGTGCGACAGTCCCGATTTTTGGTGTTTTAAAGAAGTCCCGATTTTTGGAAAGAATGCACCACAAGCTAGGGAACGGCCTATTTGGTCCATATAGACCAAAATTTTAATCAAGAACACCCCCACTCCACCCCACCCCCCGGTCAATGGTTCCCACCCCCCAGTCAATATTGTCACACTTTAAATCTGGTCACCTTACTACAGTGAAAAAAGCTCAGCTCACTGCCATAGAGTCAGTACTGACGCATAGCAACCCTGGAGGTCAGGGTAGAACTGTCCCTGTGGGTTTCTGACTCTCACTCTTTATGGGACAGAGAGCCTCATCTTTCTCCCTAAACTCATCTCTCAGCTGAAGTTCAGATCACGCAGGCTGTCTTAGGTTTACCTTCACTGGACATGTTTAGTGGTCTTCGCGGTGCCGCTCCCACCTTGCCCAGAATGACTTTCCCCTCCTCTTCCTCTGTCTCCGGTGCATTCCCCTTTGACTTGAGACTTGGCTCCTTCTCTGTACCTCTCAGGTGTCTAGCTTTTACCTGTCTCTTACCACTCTGTCCCCTGGGTGTTTAAGTGACAGTCTTCCACTTGAGTGGGAGCTTCTTTGAGGGTATCGCCAACGTTTGTTCAATGGGACACACAGTGGTGATTGTTCATTAAAATGTTCCCTGCATGAAGGAAGGACAATTCTTGGAACTCCACTAGAGAAACCGGTAGTAAGTGCATCACCAGTAGTCATTGCTACCTCATGTATGCAACTCTTACTGTGCCAGGTTCTAAATGCTCCCCATGCGTATTTCCCGTGAATTCTGGACTCTGCTGTGAAGTCAGTGTTATCCTTGTTTTCAAAGGGAGGAAACTGCGGCTCAGAACTCACTAGCATTCTCATAGACCAGCGGTTCTCAACCTGTGGGTTGCAACCCCTTTGGGGGTCGAACGACCCTTTCACAAGGGTCACCTAACATATCCTGCAAATCAGATATTTACATGACGATTCATAACAGTAGCAAAATTACAGTGATGAAGTAGCAACGAAAATAATTTTATGGTTGGGGGTCACCACAACATGAGGAACTGTATGAAAGGGTCGTGGCATTAAGAAGGTTGAGAACCACTGTTTTAGACTATAAGTGGTGGAATAAAGATTTCAACAAGCACATGATAACTATTACATATCCTGTCGATGAGACTTGATTCTCTGTGGGCAGACAGGGCTTGGCTCACTGTGAGACTTCGTGAGTTGGTGTAATTTTCTTAGCCCGGGCTTTTAAAGTAGTGGAGGAAAACCAGAGGACATTTGAAACCCAGTGACGGCCATCGTATCGTATAAAACCAACCTGGACTTTGGCTGTCAAGTAAGTGCTGAGTCCTGGTGACCCCAAGTGTTACAAAGTAGAAGGGAATGAACTTCATCGCATTTTATCTTTATGGACGCCGAGGACCAGGCCTTTTTCCTTGGCACTGCTGTGTGCTGAGCGCAAACCCTTTGTGCCACCTAAGGGCCTGGAAACGGAAGCCCTGTGCTGTCATAGGTTTGCTGCTTCCTCCCCTTCTTCTGTGGGCCCCCAGACTCTTCCTCAGCTGGGTGACCCTAAGTAAGCCTGATTCTTTGCTCTTCTGCAAAGCACTCACTCTGGGGCTCCTGCTGTGAATTGCGTAGGAAGGAGAGGTGCGGGGCGTCAGCCACTTGTTCCCAAAGAGGTCTGTGTCTCCCCTCCCTGGGCCACGTCAGGCCGCCTTGGGTGGGAGGACCCCGAAGGAAGAACTCGGAGAAGGGGAACGGAGCTGAGAAAGCACATGCCTGTGTCCGATCACATCCACCGCCGTGGGCGGGCGGCAGTTGGACGTGTCCCCAGGGCGTGTCGGGGGCTGGGTTGTCCGACTCAGATGGCGGGAAAGGAAGACGGAGCTAGGGAGTAGCCACAGTATGGGGGGAATTTTTTTTTCTCCAAAGGGTTACACTGAGACATTTCAACAAGAGAAATGAGGTGATATGAAAAGAAGAGGTCATAAAAGGAATTATGAGAAACTAAGGATAAGACCAGTGTCATTTTAAAAATTTGTGATGCTCTCTCATTCCACCTTATAAATTCGGCCTTCCTTTGTCTCCCTAACTTGGTCTTTAGGTTGGAAGTTTAAATTCAAAGGTTTTTTTGTTTTTTTTAAATGAAGTGCTTTTAAACACGAACACTGAAATTTTTTTATGTTGTTGTTTTCTTTTCCTTTTTTAAAAATCATTTTATTAGGGGCTCATACAATTCTTATCACAATCCATACATACATCAGTTGTGTAAAGCACATTTGTACATTCATTGCCCTCATCATTCTCAAAACATTTCCTCTCCACCCAAGCCCCTGGCATCAGGTCCTCATCCCGTCCCACCCCATGAACCCTTGATAATTTATAAATTATTATTTTGTCGTATCTTGCCCTGTCCGACATCTCCCTTCACCCACTTTTCTGTTGTCTGTCCCCCAGGAAAGAGGTTATATGTAGATCCTTGTAATCGGTTCCCCCTTTCCAACCCACTCTCCCTTCACCCTCCCAGTATCGCCACTCACACCACTTGGTCCTGAAGGGATCATCCGCCCTGGATTCCCTG